CGTTTACATATTTTCTTTTCTTCAAACCTCATTCAAGTTCTCGTAAGCAAAATTGGATAAAATATTATAAAATCATATACTCGTATATGTTTGTGTAATATTTCTCTTCCATTGCAAAAATATGTGATACAAATTCAAATATGGAATGATTTTAGGATCATTCCTATTTCTCATTTTGAAATAAGAAATCAGATCGCCCTTTTAATTTTCTCGCGCTGACTTCGTATTTCAGTAATTTTTATATATTCATCATTTGGAATATTCATGCTGACTGATTACAGATCACGTAGCTTTATCAAACCAGTAGTAATTTGAAAATCCCACAAACATTTTTTATGCTGACTTCACATAAATGTTGATAAAAAAAATTAGTATATGTAAATGGAGATAAGACAACGCATTGTTTCAGTTTTTAATTTTTGACGTAATGTTATCTAATTTCATCATTATAATATATTGGCATTTTAAATATATTCCAACAAAATAGTTACCTTGGAAATAATTAAAAATAGAAATATTTGTCAAAATTTTATTTTGACGTTAATATATAGGTATCTTTTGAACTTGGTGTAAATATATGTATTAAAAGAGTCTGAGTGCGAATTCTCGGATAAAATAGAAATGTTAAGGTAATGCTTTGTTACGGATATATAATCGTATGAGTTGATAGTTAAGTGGTTTCAAAAGGCTATGTATTCGCTGTGTGATCAGGCGTTTTACACATAAAACCTAACCTCAAAAAAACTCAAATGTGAATTAATTATAAGTAATGTTCAAGATATTAACTGAAAATCGCATTCATTAGCTTTTAGTGAAAGTAAAAAAAATATTTTCAAAATAAACAGTTGCGATATTTATCTGAAAAGTTCAATTTTAATTTTCATTGAATAAGACGAATATTTTTACGTATCGGAAAGTTTATGCAACTTGTCGAAGGAGCCTGCTTTAAAGGTTTTTCGTTTTTTTTATTTTTTCGTTTCTTCCTAATTTGCGGGAAAGATAGGGAAAAACTAAACCTCTTATTGAAACGAGACAAAATTGATTGTATTCAGGATTAAATTCTCTTCTAGTTGAACCTAAAAAACCTTAAAAAAGTTATAATTAACTTACTTTTTAAACAATCTAATGCGATTTTTTTTAAGTTGCCACAAATTCGTGAATTTCTCACTTTTTTCTTGATTTTTTTTTGGTTCAACTAGAATCTATACTATTGAAAATATGAATCTATTTTGTTTTTTTTTTTTATTCGAATGGAAATTGTGACCTGCATCTTTCCCGCCAAATGAGTCCTGCACGCTCGTGGCTCATCGGCAAAATGCTTGTGCCCGGCTTATTATGACTTATATTTCAATGAATAAATTTGAGAAGAATGTTGAAATATGTAACAACAAAATCTGAAAGATTCATTGCAATTAAATATTTATTTCCTTCTATAAAAATTCATCAAAAAAGCGATTTTTAGAAATGTCTAAAGCTTCAAAGCAGGCTCTCCCCTTAAGGGTAAATGCCACTTCAGTTTAGTTTTAAATAGTTTTAGTTTTTTCACACTAAATGAAGCCTTGGAATATACATGAAATGTAAGGATTTTAATCAATCCTATATATCAAAATTACATAAAATACATATTGTCCATCAAAAGAAAACCCTGATGTGCCAAAAATATGAAAAAACTAGTGATTTTTTTTTTATTATTTTTTTAATTAAAAAAATAATGCTCTAAAATAATTATTTTTTTGATAAATAAATTAAATGATTGAATAAAAACAATAAATATTTATTTTAAATTTTAATAAATTCGACTTTTTATACAAAAATATCTATGTCAGGTGTGGGGTTCGAACCCACGCTCCCTCTCGGGAACCAGAGCTTAAATCTGGCGCCTTAGACCGCTCGGCCAACCTGACTGATGATTGTAATAAGACCTTAACTGCATTAACTTCAAACTGGTAGCATATTGCCTTAAGGAAAGTTGTATGAACTTCCCGATACATGTAGTTAATCGACTTTATCATCAAGAATTAAAGTTAGCTATTTAGATAAAATGTTCAACTGTTTATTTCGAATATAAAGATTTCCTTTATTAAAACGATTTTCAATTGATATCTTTGAAACATACTTATTATATCTGTAGTTGTATAAAATAATAATTTATCTAGCACATTTCATTTCATTCTTTTAGGGTTCTAAAAATGTATTTTATTTGAAGGTGGAAGGAAGTTGGAATATTCATATATGTTTGCAATTTGCCTTGAGGCACGATGCCATGCACCAAGAGTTTCATAAACGTTTTAAGTCACAATCTTGAATAAATTTTGAAATTTTAAGAACGTATAAATATTAGTAAAGGTCGGCCGGGCCCTTTCTTCGTAATAAACTCAAAAATAAAAAAAATTTTTTGACGATTCTGTTAAAAACTTTGTACAAAGATAGATCTTGCCATAAAGATAGATCTGAAAATATTATAGGCCTACGACAAACGGTTAAATTATAAAAAAATATTAGATTCTATTAATGGGCAGATATGCTGATTAGTTTTTGGCAAAGACAGGTCCAGCCGAAACGATGTTTTTTGGAGATTTTTTTCATTTAAAACTTCAAAAAAAATTTTTTTATCTAATAATAAATTTTATTTCTAAATATCGAAAATAATTTGGACTTAAATTTCAATCCTAGCTAAAGTTCTAAAACTCACTTATCCTTAAGTTTATAATAATATATAATATATAATATAATATTTTTATCTTTTAGTTATTTAGTTATACAATTCTTATAAAAATTAGACAATGTCCTTCACTTCAAATGCGGTTGTTTAAGTTTTATTTATTTACTCTTCATGTAAACATATATAAATATCGTCGTTCAATTTATAAACCTTTATATTTTGTCTATAAAAGTAATAAATTATGAAAGTTACTACATTTATAATAATACATTTGAAGATGTTAATATTTATTTCACATATTGGAAACTATTTAATTTCATTACCATACGGAAAGCTCCAGCCATTTGCCTTAAACCACGATGCCATACATACACCACTAGTTCAAATTTGGTTTATTTGATTCAGAATAACTTGAAACATCGAGGAAACGTAAAAACTAGCAAATCGGGTTTTTTCGCGAAAACAAACTTCTCCTTCAGGTAGTTAAATATTGTTTATGCCATATTTAATTTCATGTTTCATATCACTACCATTTGCATTAGCTAGATAAATATTATGGTAAATATCAATTATCAAGTTAAATAAAATTTCAGAAAGCATGATAAATGCTGAATTAGAGTAAATAATATATTATGAAGTTCCATCATGTACTCATTATAAGCACTCGTTCATGTAACGCATTTTTCTAACTATAGAATAAGCGCGAATATACGCACAACATTCATTCAATAAACAGCAAGAGTTGAAATTGAAACGGTAGATGTCTCCGCTTGGTATACCTGCGTCACGTTAACCTGTGATCGCCGCACAAACCTGAAAGGAATTGGCTTGTTTCGGTCGAAACGTCGTTTCGGCAAGATCATACTTCACAGGATCATTTCTGTAGTAGATCTTCACAATCTCTTCACTCAAACGTGGAGTTGATGCGACCTCGACGATGAGTCGTAGCATCGCACCCTGAGCGTGAGAAAGGTGATCGAACTTCATTTGGAGTTTGATCATCATCGATGATCGTTCGCCAAAATCCTTAGTGGATTTTGGTCATGGATGTGATGCTTTCTGAGAGGTCTCTTTTAAACTTTATATCGTTGTACTATCTTTACTGCATGCCAAAAACAACAAACAACGCCCAATGTTTAAGTACTTTTTATGTTTCTTATTATTCAAAGGAATGATAGATACGAGACCGTAAAATTTCAGCGGGATACAAAAGCGTAAATTCATTTTTAAATTGGTTGTGAGCCCGGTCAATACCTAAATCAGGGTTACAATAATTAATATCTTGTTTGTGTAAAATTGTTTAAAATACAATTATAAAAGAAATCCCAAAGGTCCTCATCGACCCGATGCCAAGGTCGAAGGTAAAAAAATGACGTTTTTGCGAAAAAGAAACAATTTATTCCAGGAAGTCATAATTTACAAATGTTTCGACATTTTTTTCGACTCGATCTTCTTCACTTTCTTCACGATTTCTTCTTCACTTTGATCGCGTCAACTCCACGTTTGAGTGAAGAGATTGTGAAGATCTACTACAGAAATGATCCTGTGAAGTATGATCTTGCCGAAACGACGTTTCGACCGAAACAAGCCAATTCCTTTCAGGTTTGTGCGGCGATTACAGGTTAACATGACGCAGGTATACGATGCGCTGACATCTAACATCTAACATGCCATTTTCAAGTTTTGCTTTTTATAGAAATCTGTTTCTACTATCTGTTTTGGTTTTGGTAGTACTAAATATATTTTGTAGTCTGAAATAACAATCTAAAATATTACACGGTAAGCGGTTGAATTATAAAAAACCATCAAAGTTTACAATTTTGCCGCTAGCTACTCTGAATCTATGTCCAAGCATATGTACGTTCTGTTGTATTTCGTATGTTGCTACTGATTACAGTTGACATTCACATTTGAATAAAGTACATTTTTAGAACAGGAAATATACGAAATTAAATGTATTCAACAAATTCATTTGTTTAAAAGACATTTAACAAAGACAAAGACAATTAACTTGGTTATTTTTTAGTGAAAGCGAAAATGTGATTTTTCTGAAAAAATCAGTTGAATAATTTATCCAAATAGCTAAATCTCAATTTTTATTGGTTAAGAAGATTTTGTTTACGTATCGAAAAGTTCATGCAACTTTCCTTAAGGCAAAATGCCATTCACCATCGTTTTTTTAATGTTTTTCAATCGTATTTATTAAAGGGTTTGGTATTTTTAAACATTCGTGTAAACGTTAAAACGTAAATCTTCGGGACCTGCCTGTTGAGTGTTAAGACATGCTTAAACCACCAGTTATAATTTATAATTTAATGTGATACATTTTTTATTGTAGTTACGGGGCCATCAGCGCGCTCCCTCCGGCTCTCGAGAATTCCGCGAACTGACCAAGCGGGATGCTCTGGTTCATTTGAGGCACGAGCTGGACAGGTTGTTGAGGACGGTGTCTTCCACTCACCACCAAAATGCAGGAAGCGGCGCCAATTCAAGGTACTTATATGGTTTTACATTTTATTAAAAACTAGCTGAGCATTTATTAGAAAATATTTTATTCCAGAGAACTTGTAATTTTGTGCATTGACATTATTGACATTTTTACAGGTGTGAGTTCCAAAGTTAAATTGTTGACTGTTATTACTCGAAATAAGTTAAAGACAATATCACCTTCAATTGAATACGAATTTTGATCTTAATTTAAATGACCTGAATATAACTAATAAAATAATATGAAAATTATTTTATGAATGAAAATGAGTATGAATTATACAAATGTGTTCTCTAAGAGTACATCAGACTTTAAAATAGAAAAGATTTGCAAAGAAAAAGTACCATAAAGCCAAAAAGTTCATTTTCATATTAACATTCAAAAAAGTTGATATTTAGAGTTTCTAATAAAACTTGCTACTCGTTTAATAATGTTTCATAAGTATAAATAATACTACTAAAATTGCGACATACCAGAATTATATAATATTCATAATATTCGTTTAAAACACCCTATTAAATTTCATTGGACATAAGCTGACAAAACCACAGAAAAATTTTAAATTAAAAATGTAAAGTTTCTACGCGGTTTTGAAATATTATCTCACTTTTTGTACAATCTCTGGATTAGCACGAATATTTCAAAACTGGCCAAATCGGTTCAGTCGCTTTAGAGTTTTATCGAATCTATCATAATACGGAGCTCCATTTATATATAAGATAAGAAGATATTTCGATATCTTTATTGATTCAACTCACAGTGACATTTATATATTATATATTATATATTTTTCATATTAGACAATAAAAATTTGAAACGAAAATAGTTAGTAATTGCAAAAATCGTTGTGTTCAAATATACGTTTTAGTTTGTTTATACGAGAAGTGTTTAGAATATTTCAGTTGTCATTGTAAGGGTTAAAAAGGGGCAGCAGCGAGCAAAAAGATCTAACATTTTATTTTTATTTAAGAAGGTTTTTACGCAATAATAGCTACATTATTTAATCAATGCCATGCTGTTAAATATAATTAATTCTTGATAAACTCTTACTCCTGTCATAAATCTTGATAAACTTTTACTACTATCATAAATCTTGCTTTGATACATCTTTTACTTATTAGTATCAAAAGCTCATTTGTTTAAATATTATAATTACAAACAAGGTAAATAAAGGGACTTATTCTGCCGCATATCAGAAAAATGTTATGGCAAGGCCATATTATGAAGAACTTTTCAAACTAAAGGTAAGCAATCAAGCGTATTTCTCAGGTTGTCAGATAGAAACCTAAAAACCGCACATATATCAAAAAAACTATGTTAGATAACAGGATGTTTCTTACTCGGCTTTATAACACACTTGTATATGTGTACGTTGGAGTTTTTGTGTAAAACGCCTAAATGCACAGCAAATACATGACAATTTGACAGTATTCAGTATGATTCAGTAGCATAATGTATGGAAGTTGAAATGTAACATAACATTCTCTGTTATGCGGCAGAATCGGTCCCATAATCTCTGTTTGAATTACATATTCTGTGGAAGATCACACTGTATACAACCAATATCTGGAACTTCGTTAGTATTTATCATCAGAGTTGGAATAATTAATAATTTCATTAATCTGTTGCAAACTTGTTTTAACATTATTTACTGTTTTGATATTGTTTACATCTTCGCTAGTGTAAAGAGTCAATTGGTTCTTTTTACCCCATCCACATATAAGCTTTTATAGCAGTTATACAAAAAAACTGCTAAATCTAGCTGAAAATAATAATATATATCATTAATTAATAGCATAAACTTATAAATAATATTCTGGCATTCCAAACTATATAATATTGCTCATAGCCAAAACACAACCAAGGAAAAAAACACTTTTGTTAAAAAATTGCCGTTTCCCTCCTAATATCAACGCCGCCCAATTTAAAATACCATTTTTACAAATGGGGATAATCTCTTTATTCTCTTCATGTTTCTTGGATAATTATGGTGGACCTTTTTGCCAGCTGACGCTCAAGCCCCGCTACACCCTAGGCATATGTGTGGGCACACATAAATACTATGAAATAATCTAATTTACTTTAAAATATAACAATTACTCTATATTAGGTGATTTCAACTTTATTGTTTTTTGTCTAAATTATCCATATTTCAATATTTTGATATTTTCTCTTACAGCAATAGTTGTGCAACTCCTACTGTTGATCGGTCTCTCGACTTCAACAACGTAGATGAACACAAACCATCAAATATTCAATCAAATACTGGTGATTTTGCACCTTCTCCAAGCTCCAGTTCTGATAGAGTTAGGCAATTAGACGAATTTGCAAAACTATATGAAAGATTTTTATTAGAAGATGGACCTTCAGTGGACTGGGAGAAAATTGAGAAGCTGCCAGAGAACGCCGTTCTTAGGTAAGTGATTTTATGACTATTTACAATATTTTTTCCATTTTTATATGTTTCATGTCTAAAGTTACAGAGTTTATCTAAAATTTGCTTTTGTAATATCTTGGGTTTGAGCATATTTCATATCAGGCATTTTACATCCATTATGAATACTAAAACTGTAAGACGAAATTAACATTTACTGGCTTTAAAAGAATATTTGGCATCAAAGTGGATAAATTAATATTTTGAATACCACTAATGGGCTTCTATCAAAACAATTACTCTATGCAGGACAATTGCCTTTTTTTTGCTTAAATGATAATAATCCTTGAATGGCAAAGGTAATGGCCAACTAAAACCTACTCCCTAAAATGCAAGCAGAACACTAACTGATGATACACTCGATTAACCCTTTCCACTCGGAATTCGCTGCTCCGGCGGCTAAATATATATAAATCTCACAATTCCCGAGTGGAAAGGGTTAAAATCTTTTAATGTTTTTCGATTGATACTTTATTGAATTGATGTTTATTTTAAGTGTTGCTAAGTTGCCTAATTTATTTTTTATTACTTTAGGTACGATGGGTTGCCTTCTCCAGCATTTGAAAGCATTCGAGGAATGTTAGAAAAATTGGTTGTTGTGAAATTGAATGGTGGTCTCGGTACATCAATGGGTTGCTATGGACCAAAAAGTGTGATAACTGTTAGAAGCGATCTTACATTTTTGGATCTTACTGTTCAGCAAATTGAGGTAATCAATATGTATATTTTGTCTTTTGAAATATATAAATTCACTACGTAACAAAATTATGTGAGATACCCAGTCTCCCATATTACAATTTTTACATTATTTTGTGAAATTTATTTTTGAAATTCTTTTTTTCTATTTCAGTATCTTAACAAGACTTACAACTGCAATGTGCCATTAGTTTTAATGAATTCATTCAACACCGACAGTGATACTGAAAAGGTTATAAGAAAATATCGTGGTTTCAAGGTGGAAATTCACACATTCAATCAATCGTGCTTTCCAAGAATAAACAGGGACACTTTATTGCCTATTGCCAAGAACTGTGACATCCAGAGTGATATGGAAGCGTACGTACTAATGATCTAGTATTCAATTGTTATGTAGCATTTTGATTAGACTCGCAAAAATTAAAAGCCATTAGATTTAACTAGATATAGAATAGCTTTGATTAGATATGCGAGACGATCGGCAGAGTCGTTTCTTTGGGTCTAGGTGAAAAGTGCAAAATAGTTCGTCCACGTTTTCGCAGTATTGAAAATACACATACTGATGATTGAAAGATTTCAGTTAGGGATCGTGTAATTGTTAGGATTATTTTAACGATTTTAATAAAAATTTGTGTGGTGATAGAGTTTGTAGTATTAATGAACATCTTTAAACATTAGTGACATATAAAAAAGTAATTTAATTGTAAAAATTTATTACTTAATCCATAATAATCAGTCGCGATTTCAGAACAACCATCGTGCATTTTGTAATCGCATTTTAGAGGACCATAAATATCATATATATTTCAGATGTCTTAGTCCAATTGATATAAATGGAAATCGCATGACTAATTTTTAGTGAGAGCAAAAACTTTATTTGTTTTTTAAGTTAACAGTTGAAAATTTTGTCTAACATCTAAAATTTCTTAAACTATCATCTAAAATTTCTTAAACTTTCATCTAAAATTATTAACGTATATCAAGTAGTTCGTACAAATCGCATTAAGGCAATATGCCACTTACAACTAGTTCTTCTATCTTCTGGTACAATTAAGTCCAGATCCAGAATGTTACCTAACTCAACAAATGATTATATCTATAAGATTCTCGATTATGTTTTTAGATGGTATCCACCCGGTCACGGCGATTTTTACAAAAGTTTTTGCGATTCTGGCCTTCTGAAACGATTTATAGAATCTGGTCGAGAATATTGTTTCCTGAGCAATATTGATAATTTAGGTGCCACTGTAGATCTAAATATTTTAAATCACCTTTTGCGGCCAGAAGGCAATGGTGGTCAGGAATCGCCTGAATTTGTAATGGAGGTTACCGACAAAACAAGGGCCGATGTAAAGGTACAGATATTTTTTATTATTAATTTATAAAATCCATTTTAATTAAAAACTGTTCAATTTATTGCTTTTATTTATCAGGGTGGAACGCTCATACAATATGAAGAAAAACTGCGGTTATTGGAAATTGCTCAAGTGCCTCCTGAACATATCGATGAGTTCAAATCAGTAAAAACGTTCAAATTTTTCAACACTAATAATCTTTGGGTCAAACTAGATGGTCAGTATTAATATTATTTTAATTATTATTATCTTTATCATCATTATTATTAATATTTTTATTTAATAACAAGAGTACATTTTTTATAATAATATGGACATAGCTTTGGCAGTCGATCTACTCATTATGCTGAAATATTGTTAAAAATAATAAAATGTTGTTAATGATAATAATATTGTTACCAATGAAATATTGATCTTCATCTGATGAAGTACTCCATCTGGAAGAAAAACTAAATGTATTAATGTCTTCTTATTTTAACTCCACAAGACATAGTTTTGATATACGAAAACTCATTAAACATAACTTAAGTTATATATCTTCTATATATATAAAAATAAGTCGGGTTTTCCTTCCTGACGAAATAACTCCAGAACGCACGAACCGATTTCGACAATTTTGCATTCGTTGGAAAGGTCTCGGGCTCCGCAAGGTTTATAGCTAAGAAAATTATGGCATCGTGCCCTAATGCAAATTGCTGGAACTTCACGCACCGTAATTAAAAATTCGAGTAATATAAATAATCAATAATTGTTATAAATAATTGCAAATAGATTATCTTCTATATATAAAAATAAGTCGGGTTTTTTTTCCTGATCAAATTTTTCCTTTTCAAATATAAAACAAACAAAAAATTACTTCATCTTTCTCACGAAACCATCTGGTGGCGAAACGGAGTTCGTCGGGTTTGCTAGTATATATATAAAATTTTATATCACACCTCATTAATATATATTATATACTAATAACTAATGTGTACTAATGACCTAATTTATATACAATATTTTTACTAGATATTAAATTATGTATTATTAACACTTAACTCATCATTATCTGAAGAGTAGCAAATGAATATTATTTCTGTTAATATTAGTGCACATTTTACTAGTAATTGAATAGAAATCAACTGAAACTTATGCTCTAAGAATTTATTACTTCTTTATATTTTTACATTTCATATATTTCTCTTTCAGCTATTGATAGAGTTTTAAATGAGCATACGCTGAATATGGAAATCATAATAAACACAAAACATCTGGACAGTGGTGAAAATGTCATACAACTTGAGACGGCTGTAGGAGCAGCAATGAAATCTTTTGATAGAGGAATAGGTATATTTTTTTTAATTTTTCCAATTTAACTCTTTCGCTACGAGCGTCACTTATAGACGACATTGGATGTGCCGTCTCTTGTTTTAATATTTATCACTCTGAGTTAAATTATTGAGAATTCTAATACTAATTTTTATCAATGTTGATTAGAAAGAATGAAAATAGTTTTTGTAACAAATACTTGGGCGGTTTACAGCTTGTATAGCAGAGTCATTTTGCCGAAAACACGCTCATAACGAAAGTGTTAAACTTTATGATTATAAGTAAGATTTTGGTTATATATTAAACTTTTATGCTCGCACATAGAGATGGGTAACTCACTCTGGAGTTATCACTCCTATACAACTTCTCCCTCGGAGTAAATCCGAGCGGAGTTGTGTCGGAGATTTTGTCATATTCGACTTTCCTAAACTGGTATTAAATCTGTTGACTCGTGCAGACATTTAAATGCGATTTTGCTTTGGGAAGGAAGCGGTCGCTTTCTCGTCTCATAGGCAGTTTTATGACCTTTTAGGTATATGAGTCAAAATAATGCCATTGTGTATTTTCCAGAAAATACAAAAATATTACTTTAAGGATACAGAACAATGAAATTGTGTTCAAGTGTGAATAGATCAAATGTATAATTTATTAAATGGTAAGGAGTCATATTTCTAACTACGACAATCTTTGGCCATGAATGACGGCAATCAGGAATATACATACCGAAAAGTACATGAAACGAAATACATTTAATCTGGTTTTTTCATAGCCTAAAATAACAATACTTTAGAATGCAAAATTTATCAGTGATATCAATAGTATTTAAGCAGCAAAAAATATTTAGTATTATATTATTACTTTTACACAATTATATAATTGTGTAAAAGCAATAATATGCTAATCGAACTACCTGATGAATATTAATTTTTGAATGGAAATAGCAGAAGAAAAATTTAGAAAGCAGAAGTATTATTATTGGGTGAAAATATTTGATGATAATTGTTTTGCTTTTATTACAAAGTTTACTACATTATTTTTATATAAAATTTATCCAAAAAATCAATTATTTTCTCATCAAAAGAAAATAACTAAATTGCATTTGATTCTCAAGTTTTGCGTTTTTACTTTGGTCAACACTGCTACAATTGCAAGTCATTGAGTCAATCATCTGGTCGATCGAAAAATTTTACAACTCTTCGAACTTTTCAGTTCAAATAATTAATGGGGTTTGACAAATCTTTAGATACATAAACAACGCACTATAGAACACATTTGTGTCGAGTATTTCGGTTTCAAAGTTGTCGGAGTCATGGAGTTGTTAACAGGATATAACTCCTCCCTGAAGCGGAGTCAAATTCTAACCGATCCAGCTTCGGATATGATAAGCTCATCTCTACGTCGCACATACAAAGTTATAGTTTGTTATTATAGTTAAAATTATTTATGATGTATCTTTATCAGGTATAAATGTGCCCCGAAGTCGTTTCTTGCCAGTGAAAAAGACATCAGATTTGCTGTTAGTCATGAGTAACTTATACAATCTTAAAAATGGAACTCTGGTCATGTCTCCTCTGAGAATGTTTCCTACGACGCCACTCGTCAAACTTGGTGACAAGCATTTCGCTAAAGTTAAAGACTTCTTGTCCAGATTTGCCAATATGCCGGACATCTTGGAATTGGATCACTTAACTGTTTCAGGCGATGTTACATTTGGCAGAGGAGTTAGGTAAGTATTTAAAATATTTGTATCTAAAAAAACATTTAACCCTTCTACAACGCGGTGAGTACGTATCGTGTAATGGCAAAATCACGCTATGATAAAATCAGATTTAATATACAAATCATGTATAAATTCAACATATGTTCTCACTAAAACTAATTATATTAAGGGCAAACATTATTGCATTATTAGTACTTTTTTCCAAGAAGTTTTTGCAGATACATTGATATGGAAACTTGCTCAATAATACGTTTAGTAATGTTGTCAAAAACCTCATCTTATTCATTCGGTAAACAGATAAGATGCTTTTATAAGTATATTGAGGGTATATTTTTTAGGACGTTTCCTAGGCAAATTTCCATTATTTTACTTGTCTGTCCTAATCAGGTTTTTTATTTTATTTTAGATACTGATCGATGAGAGAATCATATAATTTTGGTTTGTTTAAATTCTTTTTTTTTTAATTTTTATCCAATGAAGTGAAAAAATTCATAAATCGATTGAAAACATCTGAAAAACTTTCTTGCAACATTATTGGTCTTCCAATCTCTTCCATTTATTCTGCCACTCAAATAAGTTTTAAAGTATCTACTTACTTATAGTTCAAACTTTCTGCTCACTTGCTTTTCTAGTATTTTATCATTGTTGCGTATGTTTGTAAAAATATATAAAATTTATTTATATTATACGTTTTCAAAAATTAAATATGTATTTATTCTGATTTTTTTTTTCAAGTTCGAATCAAATATTCAATTAATAATGACCATTTTGATGTTTTACTTTCATCTTCTAAATGTTTTCAAAAAATTTAATATAATATGTAGAAAATAAAATATTAATATATTTTATTTTTGCAGACTAAAAGGGACTGTGATTATAATTGCGAATCATGGTGATAGAATTGACATTCCAAGCGGAGCGATTTTGGAAAACAAAATCGTTTCTGGCAATATGAGAATTTTGGATCATTGACACTATTTTACTATATTATATGTTATATATTATTGTTATGCTTTATATTGTTATTTAAATATTTCGTATGTACGGTAATGTGCAATAAAATCTATAAGTTAGACTATACAACCCGATTTAATTTATATTATTAATACATATGTATCTAATCGAAATATTTTTGAAATAAAACTTCTTTAGGCGCGACTATAGGGTGTGAATCCGTACAAATGCAACGGAAATAGCGTTACGCCCGAACTGTACGTCATTTGCTTTCGATGAAATCATTTCTATACGGGTCGATTGTGATTAGTCGTCGTGTATGTGTCCCGATCAACGTTGTATGCGTATCGATATCAGCAAGGAAATCGGCATGGATAAATAAACATTTTAAAGTTACATCGTAGTAAAAATTTTGATTTAATGAAAAATGCCTGAATCAGAAGAATATTTTACCCTGTTCCTTTGAAAATAATAAAACAAATTAAACATTTGTGCCGTGTACTAAATGTAAGTTTATTGATTACATATTATTTCCATATTATTCATAGTTTCTATCTTTGAAGTTATTAGAATGGAAAATATTTTTTAGGCAAGACAGAGATATTACAGCTGTTCAAAGAATGAGATTATATCGCCAGCAAAAAAGTAAAAAAAAAATACAAGCAGTCAATGAATGTATGTGAATTTTAATTACATGAAGTTTTTCAAACACAATTACATGATGAGTGAAGTTGCGAAAACAATATTTGTTTAGGCGTTGTATAACATAATTCACTGTGTGAACGAATATTATAGAATTTATTAATCAGCAATTACTTCATTTCTCTAATGAAGGTTCATTTCTAAATGCTAATTACAATGACATACCGATCATGTCATATTTGAAGTATTACTTTAATTACATTATTGTTTTTAAACATTATCATATTTTTAATACTATTATAAATATGTAATTTATAATTTATCATTATATAAATGGTGGCCTTACCATGTTTTCTGTGGGCTTATTTATTCTTATTTGTAATTATTTCTATTAAAATCTGTGAACTTATGTTAGTACTAGTGATTTCGAACGATTTTATTGCAATTATCAGGTTTTGATGGAATTTTGATTATTTGTTCATTTTTGCTTAGTTTCGAAAAATGATACCTATAAAGTGGACAAAATGGCATATTACTATTTCACAAGAACTACAGGGTAGCTTATTAGAAGCTAAGAAAAAAAAATTGAAACTTGTAAAGGCGATTGACTTTTAACTTTTACTCTAACTTCTAAAAACAGACCCACCGGTGAAAAGAAGAGACATGCATTTATTGGTAAGATTTATTTTCACGTTCTGAGGCCGGCGAATGTTGGTTACGATATATAATTTGTTCCATTTGGGTTCAAAAGCTTCATATGCTGATGTTCCAAAGAGTATCAAAACATTTATTTATGAAATGCGTTCTTTAAAAAAATGTCCTTACTTTATGTCATTTTGTCTATAGGGACAAAATTATTTGGACTTAATAGGTTGCTTTTGCCTTAATAAATATGTTATTATAGTTCCTGCTTAATTAAAAGTCTATGTTACTGGTAGTCAAAATCCCAATTGTAAATACAATTGAGACATCATACTTCCCCTATAAATAATATTTAATTAATTTCATCATATTTCAAAAATATATTTGTTTATATTTATTAATGCATGTATTAAAGGTACATTTGATATTAAACACAGATTTATTGATACATAACAATACATATTTATGCATAAATATTCCCTGAAATTAAACACTTTAGTATTTAATTTTAGAGAAACTTCAATATAATTTTTACAATGATAGATTGAAAGTAAGTTGAATATTTGATTGACTCCTATATCATTTTATTGACTCTTAATAAAAATAATACTCTTAGAATTACTGGCTCAAAATCATTTGCAGATCGTTCGCTAAAAAATTGGTGACAACTCTTATTACTTGTCTTCTAACGTGTTCATTGTCAGTTAAAAACATTGCAAGTACTGCTACATCTTCAATCAGCACATTGTTAAGTAATCCTTGCAAACGAGCAGCCAATTGCCTTTGTTCCGAAGCTGATAAATCATTCAGAATAATTTCTGCAGCAGATTTGAAATTTCCTAAAAATAAATAGAATATATATTTTTTCTAAACTAGGCAAAAATTCAAGAAAATATCAAATCTGTCGGAGTATAACAATGCGAAATAAAAAATAATGGAAAAACACTCGGTTTCAAATATATTTGGTCATTCGGGAAGTAATTTCGTTTTTATAGACATGTTGACAAGTCATTTTCATATAATAATCTAATACTTTTTAAATTATATATTCAAAAAGATTTAGTCGAACATATTTAGTAATATTTTTGCTAGTAGCATAATTTTGGGATCATAAATTTTTTGGTCGTCATTGGCAGTACACTGATCAAGCTGCTTTTCCATCACCTCATTTAAGGTGAAGTTTTTACCGCCTAATTAACTTCCCGAAGGAGAAGTTTATGTTTTCATCAAAAAATCCGAATTGCTAATTTTATGTTTTCTCGACGTTTCAAGCCATTCTGAATCGAATGAGACCAAATTTGGAAAAAGTATGTGTGTGTGTGTGTATGTGTATATGTGTGTGTGTGCGTGTATGTGAACAGATTTTTTGCCGTAAATCGACGTTTTCTCGAAAACGGCTGGACCGATTTCAAAAATTTAAAAGCCACTCGATGTATCTCGATGAGGACTATTGTTTGTCAATTTTGTGCGACGATCGGCCAAGCCGTTTCTTTATAAATCGCAAAAAAGTGAAAAAATTTTCGTCTACGTTTTAGCCCGCAATTCTGAATCGATTTTGAAAATTCAAAAACCGTTCGAAAGATATTGGTTGGGAATCGTGCTGATTAGTTTTTGGTAGAGATCGCCCGGGCCGTTTTCTTGTAATAAAGTTTTTTAAAAAAAAATTTTGATGATTTTTATAATTATTTTTTGACGGTAAATACCATAGTCTTCTATATCATACTAAAATATTACGGCCCTACGACAACTGGTTCAGCTTTAAAAATTCGTCAAAGTTTGCAAAAATTGGTATCGTTTTTTTGGCATTTGTCAAAATTAGACCTTTGATCGACGTTTTCTCAAAAACGCCTGAGCCGATTTTAGAAATTTAAAAGCTATTTGATGTATTTCGGTGAGGACTATCGTTTGTCAGTTTTGTGTGACGATCTGCCAAGCCGTTTCTTTGCAATTTGAAAAAAAGTGTTAAACTTTTCGTCCACATTTAAGCTCATCCTACCGAACCGATTTTAAAAAATCAAAAACTGTTCAAAAGATATTAGTTGGGAATGGCACTGATTAATTTTAGGTGAAAATCTACCGAGCCGTTTTCTTGTAATTAACTGTTGAAAAAAAATTTAGGCTGATTTTCATGAAACTTTTTTTGGCGATATACATCATGGTTTTATAGAACTTACTGCAATATTACGGCCTTACGACAAGTAGTTTAATTTTAAAAATTCGACAAACTTTGCTAAAATTATTATCGTTTTTTTTAAAGTAGGATCGATGAAGTATATTATTTACACTTTTTTTTGATTAAGTCGATTATTTACACAGATCGGGAAGTTCATGTAAATTGCCTCAAGGCTAAATACCAAACCAACTAGTTTTTTTTTAGTGTCCGAAACAAATAATAGTCCGATGATGCCAATTCAGGAAAAGACTGTTAGAGCTGCAAAAGCTTTTGGAGATTGACTAAACTTATGTGAGGTCGCGCGTCGTCTTGATGCACTACACCTTGACTGTTGATTAATTCTGGTCTTTTCTGTTAAATTATATCGTTTAGTTTATTCATCTGATGACAGTAGACACTCGTACTAACCATTACATTTTACTGGAAAAGCTGAAAAACAAACAACTCCTTTAAAATCCCATCAAACATACAGCATCACCTTTTTCTGGTTTTGCAACTGTTTTGAGCAGGTCCTTTTTTTCATTGGTGTGGTGTTGTAAAACTTATTTTTTGTTTCTAGTGATAATTTACTGATAATTTTCACGACATTTCGGAAGTGAATCGCATATGTAATTGGGGCGATACAGGTTTCTTTATATGAGAATCTAGAAAATTCATACAATGAGCTTCGAGAAAAATCCCAGACCTTTCGAATGGTCATTGAATTTGATAAATTTAAAATCAATGGATTTCGTTTGCATCAACTAATGCCTTTCTCATGGCTTTATCAGCACCAAGCATTCTTCATGAACGTAGTGCATCTCCGACATCAGATTTTTTAAATTTTCCAAAAGACATCTTTCAGATTGACCCAGACGTCAGTCAATTTCATTCTCATTTGAATATAATTTTTAACATTTTCTGTATAAATTTCGAAATTTCAACTTATTGCTTTCTATATTTAGGTGCACCATCCAAATATTACAGCACAGAATTTATTGGAATTTTTTAGATTCAGACCTTAATATATATTAATAAAATTAGTTAAATGATTTTATAAGTTTTCATATTATATAATAGGCATAAGTATGACGTTAGGATAAAAAAACACATTTAAATTCTCTATTGTAAAAGAAAAACAAAATTACTTTCCGAACAATCTTATAATTTGGAACAAAAGATATATACCAAATATGTATATTGATTTTTTTTTATTGTATTCTAATGTTCAGATTTTACAAGCGTTTGATCAGTCAATTCGCTAATTTTTACATTTTCTTGATGTTGCAAGTCATCCTCAACAAATTGGTATAAAATTTGTAATTGGTGGATACCTATATTATTTAAAGTTTAATTTAGTATTGGTTCATAATTTTTGTCTAAAACATTGGGGAAAATATTTCAATTATGTATGGCTCGGACAATCGTCTTGCATAATTAACCAGAGTTCTTACAGAGTTTCATTGAATTGCTCTTAAATGCTTTTAAAGTAGGTCCTGCCTTTGGGAACATTTTCAAAAATTGTCGACAAAAAGGACGAATATGCATATATGATATATGCACATACTTTGGTGTCAGCCTACTCGAAATGGCTTGAAACGTCGAAAAAACATAAATTTAGCTAATCGGGTTTTCTGGCGAAAAAAAAAATCTACATCAAGAAAGTAAAAATCATACTACCTCTTCAA